GAATTTGAAAATGAGCTGTCTAGAATTTGAAAACAAACCATCTGCTATGATTTAACTGCTACCGTATTTTGGAGAAAAAAAAAACAAAAAAAACTTTAAAGTCTCTATTTACTGCTCATACTGAAACTGTCAATCGTACTCTCGAGGCTTGTTATCAAATGTCCTTTCTCATCGCTAAATCTGGGGAAAATCATAGTATAGGAGACAGTTTAATCAAACCATCAGTAGCAGCATTTCTTAAAACGGTTCTGGAAAAAGATGATGAACGCGTGAAAGCTATGCTACTCATTAGTGAAAGCTATGCTACTCATTAGTGAAAACTATGCTACTCATTAGTGAAAGCTATGCTACTCATTAGTGAAAGCTATGCCACTCATTAGTGAAAGCTATGTCACTCAGTAACAATATTGTTAGCAGAAGAATCTACGAAATGAGTGAAGATATTGAAATACAACTTGTTGAAAAGCTGAAAATAAGATCAATTTTGAGAGCCGGCGAGACTGTATTGATAACTTATGTAAGATATATTGATAAAGGGGAAATTGCTGAAGAAGTGTTGTTCTGTAAATCATTAGAAAGCATCACTACCGTCAAAGATATATTATTACACTCTAAAAAATTACTTAGATGTCAATAATATACCAATGAGAAATAAAACATCTTGTGCTGCAGCTGACGTTCGTAATATGATGGGCAAGAAAAATGGCTACTTAAAATTGATGAACGATGAGAATCCAGAAATGCTTCTTGTGCATTGTGTTATCCATATATAGGGAAAACTTAGCAGCTAAAAAAAATTCGCCTGTTCTATATGAAGTACTAAATTCAGTTATAAAGTGCATCGATGCTATTAAAGCTAATGTTAAATGTGAACGTCTCTTCAAGCTGTTTTGTAAAGAACAAAATGCAGACTATGTGAGACTTTTACTTCAAATTGAAGTAAGATGGCTTTCTAAAGGGAATTGCTTGAAAAGATTTATGGAACTATTAATTGATGCTCTTGAGATTTTTTAAAGTGACAAACCTGATATGAAGTATCTGTTAATGGTCGATGGTAAAGCATTTGCAAGTTATTTAGTCATTATCTTTGAAAAACTAAATATATTAAATAACCAACTTTAAGGAACAAATAAAACTATTGTCGATGAAAAAGCGAAGATATAATTTGGTTTCATTACCTTTATTGAATCATCTCAGAAAAATATGTACAACACAAATTTTGTCAAGTTTCATTGGCTCCAAAAATGTGAAGTGATTGATACCTCCAAAAATGTGAAGTGATTGATACTGCCAGAATTGTCGTTGTCGATCATCTGAAAATTCTATCGGCTGATTTAAAAGAAGCATTTTCTGATATGAAAAAAAAATTGATTATCCAACTTGGATGATGCAGCCAATGTTAGAGGATTTGTCTGATATCTCAAATATGCAGTATCAAGAATAACTGCAAAATGATGAGTTAGTTAAAACTTTAAGGAAAGTGTCTCACAATATCAAGGGGTCATAAGAAAAGTGTCTCACTAGAGCAGGGGGCCATAAAGAAAGTATCTCACCAATGCAGGGGGTTATGCTTTGCTAATTCTACTAAATTATCCCCGATTGCGCCACGATGGTCAATGCACGACAGACAATAAATTATATATCTTCGGCATGTATGTTATTTCTAACTTTGTCTGTAATTTAAAAAAAAAATGAGACTGCTAACGCTTTATGACACTGCACATCTAAACAGTATTCCTAAACTGCAAATAGCTGTTGTCACTGTTGCCACTGCTGCCACTGTTATCACTGTTGCCACTGTTGCCTCTTTTGCCACTGTGCCACTGTTGCCACTGTTACCACTCTTGCCACTCTTGCCATTGTTGCCACTGTTGCCATTGTTGCCACTGTTGCCACTGTTGGCCCTGTTGCCACTGTTGCCACTGTTGCCACTGTTGCCACTGTTGGAACTGTTGCCACTGTTGCCATGCACTGATGCCACTGTTGTCAGGACCTATTTGAGCCTCTGAAAGTCCATGCCCATAAATACTGCAGTGTTTACAGCCATGGCCTCCACCCTTTATGTTTTGCGTTGCACTTTATTGTGTTTGGTTTTGTTTAGCGTCGGTTCGACCCAAGGAACGTTACACAACAAGGGCAACTGAAATAATTTAAATGTGGGAAGTAAAGGTATGTGCAGCGCAATTAAAGTTACTTGAATTTGTGGGGCTATGAGCAATAAAATTACACACTAACCTGTCAATTTGTTTCATTCAATGGGATGAGACGTATTTATATGTGTGTTGTGAGAGGGTGTGTAACACGCTCAAAAAAAGTTTTTGCTTAAATTGGCTATGTTAGATATTTCTTCTCTGTGCTTCTTACTTTTGATCACCGGGAAAAAAAGACAAAATAGAAGATCAGTAACGGGGATGAAATAAAAGGGGGTGGGTGGGTGGGGGGTGGGGGTAGATAATTAATGTCCCAGTGATATATTTTGAGTTTAATGCCTCAATGAGACATG